AATAATAAATTATGAAATTAAGAAGAAGACACTGACAGCGACTGATTTAATTAACACTGAGTGAACTGTATGGCTTGTATTATGTTAGTTCATATGTGGCTACAATCTATATGTTTATATAACATTTATTTATTAAATGCTTAATGAGTATTCTTTATGTTTAGAATAATATAGTGCGTTTGTTCTTGGTGAGCTAATCAAATTGAACCATTATAGTGCTGTACTGCGTATGATAGTAACTATATATGTTATTGTAGTGCTGCAAAAGAGGGACGAAAGATACCAGAGGGACAGTCAAACTCATAGATCGAAAACAAACTGACAACGCCATGGCCAAATAGTACAGATGACACAACATAGAAAACTAAAGCCTAAGCAACACGAACCCCACCAAAAACTGGGGGTGATCTCAGGTGCTCCGGAAGGGTAAGCAGATCCTGCTCCACATGTGGCACCCGTCGTGTTGATTATGTTATTACAAATCCGGTAAATAGTCTAATTCGGTAAGTCACATTCGTGAAAAGGGAAGGGTATTGTAGTTACGACATAAGGAACATATCCGATATCATCTGTGAAACGGTTATTCCATAACGGTCAACCAACTCGTGATGGCGTCCGTAAAATTTACGAAGTGATGATTTCAACTTCACCATTTGGAACTCTTGGCTTAAGTGTGACCCCTTTTATATTATGTAAGCGACAGTGTAACTGTCAGTGTAAATGATTTAAAAGTTATATATATTTATGTGAGTGTCAGAGATAGTGTGTTTGTTAGTGTGTACGAATTTATTGTTATATTATAGTAGTGCTGATATTATATTTTAGAGAGTGAAAATGTGCATTCAGTGTACGGTAATTATTTTGTTATTATCTTGCAATAAAGAATAATGGATACTCATATAACTTGTTTTTTTTTTATCTACACAGAACTATTCAAAATATTGTCAACTTTAAAAAAATATATTAACTATATTCGATATTACAAAAAAACAACATGTGTTATTGAAGCCTCTGATGTTACCTGAAAAAAAAAATACAATTAATTATTATAACACATAACACCAAAAAAAAAGATCAAACTATAAAGACCTTGCTGATTACGTAACTTTAATCAACCAGGATTTGATTGAATTAAGTGATTACGAGTGGCATTACCTTAGTTCACAATCATCAGACAATTGTTGAATAAACAAACCAATTATAGATTAATGATTTGATTAAACAAGTCATTATATGATGAGTTAAATTTTATAGGTTCCATTGGACTGTAAATATTTATTTAGCTATTCTGTGTGTGAATTAAATAAAATAAAAATCGCCATGACATTCAAAGTTATCATGGAAAATAACTTCATATTAATATGTTGAAGCTGCTATACAAACAGACACAACCACACTCAGTTTCGTATCGATTTAAATTAATTCTTTGACTGGTACACCAATACTTCACTTACCTGTTGTCATCCATCATCGATACTTTTTGCAAAATCAATTTATACTGTTAAAAATCCTCCAAAGTCAATATAGTTTATTCATATTTTATTATGGGGCCGGATCAACTTTGGGCCGGATCGACGTGGGCCGGATCGACTTGGGACGGATCGACTTTGGACCGGATCGACTTGGGGCCGGATCGGTTTGGGGACGGAACGACCGGATTCCTTGGTCAGCTACCCTACATGTCTTGATTCATTCATATTATACATCACCCTGTTCACACGCACACTATCGGTTTCCGTTCACAAAAATTCCGGATAAAATGTCAATGAATCCGGAGTCAAAACAATTGAGGTAGGTAGTTTGACATCCGAATTCAACTATTAGATTAATATATGTGATGACGCAAATGCGTATTCTTATCCAGAGTATCAGTGCGTATGCTTTCTATTTACTATTTCTTGCGCAAAAACACCACGTTCATGCATAAATATTATTTTCACTCGCGAATGCGAATTTTCGCTTTTCTTATCTAAATTCAGGACACGGCAATAAGAGCTTGCCATGTGACTTTCAAGCACGGTCATCATTGCTTAGGGGACGACCATTTGATATTCTGGGGGGGGGGCCAGGAGGATTTGTTTTGGATCGGTTATTTATTTTTGTAAACTAAGAGGACAGATTATCTATTTTCTGCACTATTGAAGCAAGATTTTTCATTTTCATTTAAGCAAGGGACGGATTATTTATTTTCACAACTATATTTATAATATTCGAAAACATACAATTTTTAAATTATTTGTTTATTATAAATAATTCATGTATAGTCAAGTCATTATGTACCATTTAATCAGAATTAATTATCATCCTCTGCAGAAATGAATCTTCTATATTCCCCAATGCATATACATGTATTGCATACATAAACAGTATTACAGTTAGGTTGTAACTAAGGCTCTTTTAAAAGTATTGGCAAACATGTTTCGCCGAGCGGAGCGAGGCAAAATTTTTTTTGAAGGGTTTTTGAACCGCTGAAGGCCAAAGAAGCTATAGAACAAATGATGCAAAATCATGCCTTCTGGGTGTTCCCCAGACCCTTTCTTAAACTTAAAATGCAAGTTCTGTTTTAATAATTTTATGACAATATTTTGGTCTCAAAGCAAAATCACGTTATAGATTCAGTGTAAGACTGAAGTTTCTAGGGACAACATCAAAAGACAAATATGCATGATAAAGCAAAAATGTAATTCACATAGTTGAGTCTGTGGCTGCTGTGTTTTTTTAAACTCATGATCAAGTTAATAATAAAATTACTAAATTACAAAATGAATGCAACACTAACAGAATACAGAAGGGCAATCAATGAACAAAAGACAAATAAATAAGAAACATTGATCCCGAAAAATCAGGGGCTACGTCTGAGGGAGAACAGAATTTGCTTCTTGCAAACACTCACGGTGAACACAATTTGATATGGAGACAAGCGTTTGGTTTTGAAATTTCCTACATGAGGCATTTGTCTCAATGTAGTTACGGCCCTGATTTAATAAAAGTGAGGTAAGTGTTCCCGAGACAATTAACCTCAAGTTAAATGAAACCAATTTTCTGACATTTCAAGTATATTTAAATAATATTTATACTTTAATTATTAAAAGATATGGGAAGTGATTCCCGATTTTTTTTGGAAAAAAGATGAATTTATGAAGAATCTGGTGCCATCTCATACTTTCGATTAGACCTGCTGAGTTATTTATTTTCAATACAATGCAAGTCCGGTAATTTATTTTCAAACTACCACAGAACAAACCATTTATTTTTGTGATTATCAAGGCTGAGTTATTTATTTTCAAAATCCTCCTGCCCCCCCCCCCCCCCCCCCCCCCAGAATATCAAATGGTCGTCCCCTTACTGTATTCTGACCTCTAGCTGTTTCTCTTTTGTTTTCTTTTTTGAGTCACTGTCCTTTTATAAACTTTGACATTTTCGAAATGCCAAGGATTTTCTACCCAAGGAATAGATTACTTAACTTCATACTTTATTTGGCCTTTTTAACTATTTTTATTCGAGCGTCACTGATGATTCTTTGTAGACTTAACTCGCGTCTGGCGTACAACATGTTAATCCTGGTATTTTTTTTATATCTACATAAAATTAAAATTGAGAATGGAAATGGGAAATGTGTCAAAGAGACAACAACCCGACCATAGAGCAGACAACAGCCGAAGGCCACCAATGGGTCTTCAATGCATCGAGAAACTCCCGCACCCGGAGGCGTCCTTCAGCTGGCCCCTAACAAATATGTATACTAGTTCAGTGATAATGGAGGTCATACTAAACTCCAAATTATACACAGGAAACTAAAATTAAAAATGATACAAGACTAACAAAGGCCAGAGGCTCCTGACTTGGGACAGGCGCAAAAATGCGGCGGGGTTAAACATGTTTTTTGAGATCTCAACCCTCCCCCTATACCTCTAGCCAATGTAGTAAAAACAAACGCACAACAGTATGTCTTTTTATATAAATTGGTTCTTTTGAGAGTATGTTGAGGTATTCATAAAACTTCTGAAAATAAGATATTCTTCAAAACCAAGTTTTTCTGTAAAATATTTGGATTGATTTAAGTAAAATCAGGAAATCCTTAAAATTTGAGATCTTTTATGAGACCAAAATAAGTCTATATAAGAGGTCCAAATGAAGCTGGTGTGTAACTCTCAAGAAGAATATATGAATCCTTCTTATAAGTTGCATGCCACAGGATTTCACTTCACATGAAAAATGGACTTTAAATTTATCTGTACAACATCTACCATGAGAACAGACAACTTCAATAACGAGTTGAGAATATGAAGGCATCCATGCAGGAAACAAAATATAAAGATGTGATACATAAAATAAATGCATCCAGATTATGAAGCAAACGGAGTGCTTAAATTTATATTGCGATTGGTTTGTGCTTTTTGCACTATACATCCGGTTTGTAGAAAGCCAGTGGGATTTGCAATAGGATTATAAAAAAATGATGAACAATCCCAAGTAATAAATGAAATAGTCGAGCTTTAAAATGTATATTCAAATAGTAGCTGTATATACACTTATCTATTCACACCTATCCAACATTGCTTTCAACTGACTTGTGCAAGAATGTACACACTATTACATATTTTTAATAAAGGTAGTTTAACTTCATCATTATCTCCTTCTATTCACAGTCAATTATTTCAATTCAAAAGCAAACAAAAATTCAGCAACAATCTTTTGGTGACCCGGCAGTCAGCGGTCTTAGGTTCACGTGTTGCTTTTCTTTTTTTTTTAAAAGTAGTTTCAGAGAAGAAGATTTTTGTAAAAGTTAACGGATGTCGTACGCCAAGTGATGAGTAAAGCTCACTTGGCCCGTTGGGCCAGATGAGCTAAAAAAGGAATTATTTTAAATTATAAAGAAAATGCAGAAAGTACAACTCCTGAATAGTCCGTCACTTTCATTGATGGACAGTGGTGTGATACTAGTGGTAAATAATTATGATATACTCCTAATCAGTTTGGTATAAATATCAAAATAACTCTCAATTCTTCACCATTTATTGATTAGTCAACATAAATGTGTTGCAATAAATAAACTATATTTTTTTAAAAACAATGGTGTTTATATTCACGATCAATTTTTTTGTGCCCATTCTAGCTGAAGTGAAGTAAAACAATATGGCATTCTCAGAACACAAATTGGAATGTATATTTATTCCAATGGGCTTATCATATCAATGAATAAGTATTTTATTCACAAAAACTTCTCTTTTACATAATTCTAGTTACCCTTGAACTGTGGATGAAATACATATTAACAGTACCTGTTACAGCATATTAGGGTGAAATTCATATGCATGTATATAAAGAGAAAGTACATATATTACATGGATTTAATTCAAGAAATGGTACATAAGTAGAGTATGCATCAACTTTATAAAATGAATGCACAATCCCAACCTGATGCATCCGAAATGACAAAAAGTGATGCAAAAAGTCAAACTATTAGCATAATATGTTTAAAAGTGCATACATTCCACAATACAGCAATATATATATATATAAAGAGAGCAATTTAAAATTACTTAGTACAAATAGAATAATTTAAAATCAAAGATTTACAATTTGCATACACAATACATAAAATAATTCAATAAGTTAAAAATACTGTTTTTTTTATAAAAGAAGACACAATTTTGGTTGGTACATATAGAAATTACATTGTGAACAAATTTATCACGTCTGAGATGTTTTAGTTATATCACAGGTGGCATTGATTTTAGAAAAAATATCTTTAGTTACAAGCAGGTTCATATACACCATGTCCAAGTTCTCCCTGTCTGGCTATTTGGTCTGACTGGAAGTTTCCATAGGCTGAACGTCTAGCTCCACCAGTTCTGAATGTCTGTAGAGATGGTTTGGCCTAAAGAAAACAGTAAATATAAAATTATCCTTTATCTAACAAATGAGACACAAATGTATTTAATGTCTTCCTAAATAAGATAAGAAAGAGAGGCAAAAGATACTAATGGGATATTCAAACTCACAAGTCGAAAACAAACTGACAATACCAGGGCAAAAAAAAAAAAAAACAACAAACAAATAAATAAAGTAAGTGAAGACTACCACCCTTAACTGAGAATGATTTTTCTTTTATTCAGAATCTCGTGCAAATCTGTTGAGGTTTTTGAACAAAATATGTTGTGGACAATTAAACCTGGGATATGAAAACAAATCACACCCAATATTATGCTTGATGCCAAATTTCATGATTTTGCAGTTCCTATGAAAAATACAATGACAATTTCATGGGACAGACAGACAAAAAAGACACACCAACAAAGCAGAGGTATAATGAAATTGTTTGGCCAATTGACATACCTTGTCTTTAAATCTTGGAAGTTGCCACAGAGGAGCATCATCTACAGGATTTTGATAGGTTCTTAGTAAAGAAGCTCTGGTTTCATAAACACAATTTGGATTTCTCCTCAGCTGAAATAAGAACACAATAGGTTTTAGTACATGGGAAAAAACAAATCAAATAAAACAATACATATATAAACAAAATACATTTTGCCATTTGGCAGAGTCACTAATAATAAACAATCCTGAATGCAATGGAAAAACTCTTTTTTTTTTCTTACCTAAAGTTATCAGAGGAGGATACTTGGAATTATAATAATTGTTGTGTTGTTAAGAGTTTAATTTACCATTAGGTGTTTTTTTTTTCTCTGCACTGCTGTCTTGAGATGAAAATTGAACTAAAAATACTTATACCTTGATATGATCTTTGTGACTGCCCTAAGTCAATCCATATATGAATGATTATATCATTTTATATTTCTTGTATTTCTAATATGGTGTTCATATTTAAGTACCCCTCTTTTATAGTTTCTTTAAACTCTTTATTGAAGTTTTCCTTTATTTAGAACCTTACTGTCAGAATGTTTATAACTGTTTCCTTTCAGTGCTAATTTAAATTTCAGTTGTTTTGTTGGATGTATTCATATAAACATTTGACCTTTATCTTTCTCTCATAATCCTCTGTCCCAAATCATTTACTCGAACTTTATTTCAATATACAAATTTATAATCTTTTATACATAAAAATTTCAGATTAAGTGTCAGAGGATTCTTTTCTGCTTTTTAAATGTAGAAAAAAAATATTCATTATTCGTATCTGCTATTATGTTTACTATTAAAACAATCAAAACAATTTAAATGTATATTTTTACATCAAGACAGAGACATATAAAGGTATGGTCAGGGTTCAGAAACAAAGAAATTAGGGTATATCTATATAGATATTTAACTACAAAGAAATTAAGGTATATCTATATAGATATTCAGAAACAAAGCAGATCATGCATATTTTTTTTACTTATTTGAGTGATTCTAATCCTAAAAGAATTTAACAGAAAAACAGAATATTTAACATTTTTGTCTGGACTAAAAAAAAACTAAGTAATCTATGTAATTTTCCTATAAACATATTCTTCTTGTCTACTTATGAAAAGTACAGGACAACTGTACAGTTGAACACATTCACTGTTTTTAAAGGAATAGATATCATTCAAGTATCAAATGTTTCATGTAAGTATAAATGGGTCAATTATATGTTATACTGCTTTTCCCTTGTAAACAAACATATACTGATAATAGTTCTCAGTAAATTGTGGCTAGCACAAATATCGAGTCAAGTTGATGTGTCATCATAAAAGCTGTAATGCAATTGTTTTGAAATGAGTGCAGATAAGCAGTCAGATGAGAATATGAAAATTTTAGTCTATTGAACTTTTGATACTTTTCTTTCGAATTGTATTTTATCATTTTCTAGTTGATTTCCCCCTTTCCTTGATCTTTTTTTCACAGTACGGTGTAATGTATTCTATAGAACAGAAAAGTTTTTCCAAGCTGACCTCTGTCCATCAAAAGCATGCAAAATGGACACTTGCTTAAATAAAAAAAAGTTCATGCATCCAGGGAATTGAGAGATGTAGAGCCTCTCTACATTGAGGACTCTTGTAGCAATTTTTTTTCACCCAATAAAAAATCTAAACATTTCATACAATTGAGAGTTCTTCATGAAAATCAATTAGAAAAAAACCTTTGAAGTTTTTGTTTGGAAAAAATATGTGATTTGTATGAAAAAGAAAGAAATGTTATTAAGTTTTTGCCCATGACTTATACATCTATGAAATATATCTAAGGTACATATTTATGCAATACACAATAGTAATTCATGCATTATTACAGGCATTCTAAGTTTGCCAGGTCTTATTATTTGTGCAATTTATCACATTACCCTCAATTCTTTCAAATGTTGTCTTTTCTGTTGACAAAGTAATTTAAAAAATGTAAGTAATTTGTGAAGAATTCACTACAAAATAAACTTTTTTCCAGTACTACAAACATAAATTATAAAAATGTGATTCATTCAGTAAGAACATAGTGAATTTATACATGTGCTAATGTATAAGAATCAAAAGAATTCATCACTTTTAATTATACACATACCACAAACAAATACAGGGAAAAGAATCAAACAGTTTAAGATGTACATACAAGGTAGGTAATTAATTTTGGAAGTTATGGATTAAAGATTGGTAAAGAGTTGTCTCCTCTCAAGCTGAAAAAACCTATATCACTTTCATTTCATTCTTCTCTTAAACTGTGAACATGGTGAACATTACAAATTAGATACAAAATGGAAAAATACTCAAACTGAACTGTATAAATCTGTTCAAAATTATTTTCAAACAAACCATTTCATAAATATATAAATAATTAAATGAATAAAAAGAAATCCACTGGCATCTTGTTATGAACATTTGATTCTTAGCATATGATATCAGTGGTTGATATAGAGAACAAGTTAAAGGCACTGAGCTTCAGAAAACATCAACACCCAATTTTTTCCTTGTAATTTGAGGATAAAATTCCATAATAATTTCTATGTTATGAAATCCTGGATCCCTAGTCTGGGGATTTCATTAATTTCAAGGAGATAAAACCAAACTGACCAAAATTATTGATTCTGCCTCTGAAACTATAAATATTTTTTGAGAACTTTTTTAAAATATGTTCAACCAAACATGCAATTAATTCCTTATAAAAGCTACCAAAAACATCCCTTCAAAGCCAAAATAAAGCTCCATTCAAAATTTTATGAAAGACTGAACTGCATCAAAGGAAAGATACTCCTAGTTCCACCTGATATTTATTAATTCATGTATATAGCCAATTACCTGGCCTGTTACCTTTGTTAATATGTTAATTGCAAAAAAGTAAGGTAAAGTCTTAGAATTTATGCTTACATGTAGTGCATATTTAAATTATCCAAAAGTGAAGTTTTAAGAATCGTAAAATTTTATATCTAGATGAAAATATATTACTGAAGAAAAAATCAAAATGGTAACTGTACAGCATTTTTGGTTTGAGTCATTTACGTCAAAATAAGAATAATATATTTTTAAAACATGTAGACAGAATTGTTAGTGATGTAACTTCCAACTGATCACATTCATTGAAAAAATCCCTAAAATCATGTTTACTCACTAATTGAAAAATTTTGATTTATTTAATCTGAATTAACGCTGATTTCGATTTCTGATAACCATTTACTGTTAATTCCTAGATTTTCATCACAATCACAACATTTATTTAAACAGGCCAGGAAACTATGAAAAATTCACGTTTGGGACCTCAGAATAGGAAAATCACACAGGTGTGATCAGTTTTGTAGATGGAAGCAGACCTTTATAAAAATTCAATTATCAAATAATGCTTAAAACTGGAAAAATCTTCTTCTTTTGTAGCTATTAATATCATACTATCTAAAACAAGCATATTAAATGTTTGTTTAATTCAAATTTTCAATCTTAAGTTCTGTAAAAGATTAATTTTTAGATTAGATATGACAGAATTAATTTTAGAGCCAAATTTAGGCCTTCCTGGTCCTATTTCTTTCTTATGCCTTACAAAATTTCGTAGTTTTTATCTCTTCTGTAATGAGCAATCAAGAGCCTTTATTGAAATATATTTTGATTGAAGGTTTCTTATCAAGTCTTGATATCATTCAAATATCTTATCAAGAATGACTTTTGTTATTAAAAATATCTTTAATTTCATCAACAAAAACTATTAATTAAGTGAGCAAGCTTTAGTAATTTGCTATGTTAATTATATCATTATTTCAGTTTTTGCAATAAAGTGGCCAGATTATCTCATTTTTTCACAAAAAAAAAACAATTTAGAAAATATTCAGTATTTAAAACTGATTGTGATTTAAAGTAGTTTTGAATTGGAATTACAAATTTTAAAAGCAAGCTGATGCAAAGACTTACATATAATTAGTTACTCCTTTAAATTGATATTGAGGAAATCAGATGATTGCATTTAAAAAAAAAAGGCCACTGATCCGAATTTCAAATACCATAATATTAGAAAAAATGTCAACCTCCTACTTTCATTATGTAGTATTACTAATTAAACAATAAACAATTTTCAAATAAGAATAAATATTATCTTCTTTTTTTTAATTGATAATTGAAATACCCCACTCCAAAAAAAAGAAGAGTGAAGACCAGAGAATGATGAAGATCTAGGAATATATTTATTTCATGGTTTATAAAATAAAATAATAATTTGAAATTTTTGCTGTAAGTCACCATAATGATGCTCTAAACTATTAAGGCTGAAATTGACGTACAAAGGAGACACATGTTTATCACATCTGTGATGTATTAACACTCACTGTTCCAGAACTGCATCCACTCTGAACATAAGAACATTAGATATGTGTATAAATTCCATCAAACAAAATCATGATATCAAAGCTATTAATGTTTTATGACCATACCTGATAACCATCTTCTACCTGCTAAAAACCTTGTCTTATAATTAATTTGAAAACTATAGGGTCAATAGTACTATTGACTCAATACTTCATTTCCTTATTGCTATATTTTGTAGCTTTTAACATACTAATATCTTTTGAAATTTTATCAGAAGCAAATTCTTGAAAACATGAATTTTTATATACATGTATCAACTAAAATAACTTTCAATTTAAAAAGTTTGCATGCATGTATTCTGCTGAAGATAAACATTCGTTGGGGGTAACCTAGGCTAAATCAAATTGGCCATATAAACTCATTCAATAACAGTTGTGACAGTAATAAAATTTTCAAAACATTTCTGCTTTTTTAGTAATTTTTATAATCTAGCTATCAGCCAATATTTCCTGTGTACTATATACCTTTGTTTCTTCATGTCTTTTTGATACTTCTAGTTTACGCCTGTCTTGTAACCATTTATCCTGGTATTTGTGTTCTAATAAATCAAAAATTGGTGTTGAAGGTCTGAAAAAATAAAATAGCCATAAATATCAAACACAAAAAAATAATGTATCTGTGTAACTCTTGTCATCAGACAGGGACAGAAATAAAAGGTACTTTTGGCTATTCCTGCGATGAAAAGGTTTTATACAGGACAAGCTATATCCAAAGTCAACTTGCCGAATATTAAAGCTAATTTCTTTGAGAGTTAAAGTAAATTTCAGTGATCTCAATATAAAAATTAGAAACTTGAGATGGGCATGCAATCACTAGACCATTGAATATTAGTTCCAAACTTTTAAGTACTAATCCTATTTTTTCATTTTAATATTTTTATGTTATACCTTGTTGAAATACCAAACACCATAGAAGGAGGTATCCGCCGAGTTCTCGTTCTTGTTTTCTCATCACCAGCTGTCTTCCTTCTGACATCATGTGTTGCTCTGAATTCATAATTTTCATTGGCAGTTACCAAACCAGTTTGAACAGCAGCTCTGTTTAGAGCCATGAAATCTCTCTCTGATTTTTTATCTTTACTTTTAAATGGTAGTGTTGTTGTTGAAAGATTTCTCGGCCAGCCATGTAAAGCTAAATTAACAAAACAAAAACATAATGTTAGTAACATTTTTACAAAAATCCAAGATAATAAAAAGAATACATATTCTGAAACAAGGTTGAACTACATGAACTAGGTCTCAGAACTTTTTTAAAGAACAGTCTTCAAATGAGCAATTGCTTTTGAATAATTTCTGATATAAATTTTGGGGAATCAACAACAATTCAAATTTTATATAAAAAGGGAGATACATGTATATAAATGTATAATGATAAGACTTAATCATATATACATGTACATGTTTGCTCACATTTAAGAAAAAAATATCCCAATAACCAAATGACCTCCATCTACATCCAATTCTAAGAATAAGGGAATACATACAATGTAGATATGACATACAACAACTGCTGAATATATTCCTAACTTGGGACAGGCCTATGAAAATGTGGCCGGGCAAAACTTGTATTTTTGGTATTTAGACCTTCCCCAAGTTCTCCCTTTTTATTCAAATCTGTACATATATGTGTATGTTATCAAATCTAAGAGAGTAACTCAGTTACACTTTCCCTTAATATTCTCATTTTTCATTTCAGACTAAAATTTAATTATAATGTAAAAATTTCCTTCACATTCCCTGATTTGCTATTGATGATGTCAGAATTAAGAATTAAATTATTATTTAACAATCTCTATATGCTTGCATGATGTTTTCTCAAAGGAAAAGCACTGTATATCATTAAATAAAAGATTATAAGAAAAAAAAGAATAAACCACTGTATCTTGTGGGCAGGTGGGATACAATATGTCTCCACTTTTGACAGTTTAATTTATAAAACTGTCTATATGCATGTACACATATATCATGTATATATATATTTCTATTTATGTAAATTTATAAGACAATAAATTTTGAAAAGTTCTTCCTGAATTTTATTTTTTGACCACACAAGGAATAAAGATAAGTTACCTCCAGGTGTTGAAAACACTAACAAAACAAAGTATGTACATAATCAGTTAGTTGTATAATTACCATCATCAGCCCCACCAAATCGTTCTTCATTGGGTCTACCAAACACAAAACTCCCATCTTTTGGGACCTGAGTATATGCCCTGTTCTTTGGTCTTCCAAGTTCGTTCTGAAAGTTAAAGTCAAATACATTCAATATGTAGATTATATAAGAATTAAAAGAGATTATTAAAAAAGGGGGTATGGAAATATCTATATCACCTATGAAACCTAAAAAATACCTGAGTATGTACTATTCATCTGATGGATACATGTATTTGCAACATGCAATGTTAAATTACAAAGAATGCTAATTTGTTTGAAAATTGATCTTTTAGCATAACAACTTCCCAAATAGTGAATCATTAGTGTCCCTTTTGTGATTATATATCAGTTAAAATTTTCAGATCATCAATGTCTTATTAACAACTTAAGTCTGTAATACATGACATTAAAAATGTTGAAAACAACATTCCTTTAACACATTTGTTCTCAACTCAGCTATTTTTATACGCTATACAGATATTTTGAATTACTGGACCTAAAAAGGTAGAATTTTTACATTCATCTTAAAATGTGACCATAGTTAAAATACTTGTACTGGTAAACACCAATTATTGTTTAATCTTTTTGAGTATGTGGCTTGTATTGGACATGTCGGCTACAATATATTTCATGGAAAAAGTTCAAAAATGGAGATATTTCCTGCATGATTACTATATTTTGGACTTGGTTAAGAATATTTATAGATTATCGTTTGTCATCTCAACGCTTTTTCTAGCTTGAGCCTGTACAGCGAAAGTGAGAAAAGCAATGAGTTGAGATGACCATTGATAATCTGTTTAACGCTATTTTACCTATGCATCGTTGTTCATTTCATTGACAATGGCACATGCACCCTTTGTTTCTAGCGATAATTTTTCATATCACTCTACTGTGCTGAGAAAGGAAATTATCAGTCAGTATTAGGTCCGAGGACACAGTTATCGTCCTTCGATGTCTACAAATATAGTCCCTAGTGTGGACAGTGTATAACATGCAAATTTTTTTCATACACTTTCCAAATTTATTTATTTATATTTAATGCATGAAATATTAAGTAAGGGGATGAAATTACATGTTAAAAAAATTTGGGTGCTGAATCTTTATGTTAAGTAGTGATTAGGTCCAGTTTAAAAAGGTCAAAAATTAGTATGTCTGAAGCTGTCAAACTGAATTTTAGACCCCCTTAACATAGAATTGTCAATATTTTGAGTTAGAGCTGGTAGACTTTTCTATAATTTTGATATTATTTGTCCCTATAGTAGTACACTACACTGTAAAAATCTTTTTGAGATAGAGCAGGTGAGATTTTTTTAATTTGACTTTATTGTCTAAAAGAAATGCACTACGAAATAACTGTGTTCTCTGGCCTAAGAGATGAATTCAGGAAATGTAGATTCTGTACTTTGGCAACGTCCCTGAATAGTTTGCTGGTTTCAATTTGTCAAACTCAATAAAAGTAAAGGATTTACATCTTTATTTGAAAGAAATTCTGTTAAAATGTCCCATTTTGACATTATACGGCTAAAATAAGCATTTTGAAGCAGTTTCCATTTTAAGCCTAAGAGGCATGCTGACTTTCTATCTGACAGCTTTTTATGCTTTGATATTTGTGTTTCTATGATTAATTCAAATTCTATTAACCATTTGTAAACTCTGAATATAGAGAAAAGTAGATTATCACAGAAAAAATGTGCAAAATGTGTTGTATTTAGGCCCTGGTAGAACGGCCTGTTTAATGTATGTTCAATGTGAAGAGCTTTGTACATAGAATGTGTTGTCCATCATAAAAATTTCACTAAATCTGTAAAAAAAGCACTTGACAATGATCTGTGCACCTTATCCATTTCATATACTGCCTTTATTTTCTTCTGTAGGATAGTATGTGGTTCAAATATATGCCAGTTGAGACTAAAACTACATGCAAGTTTTCCATTGAAAAGTGAAAAAACTGTGCATCAGACCATACTGTCTGCAAAAAAAGTTGAATGCAAGAGACCTTTTGCAATTAGACTTCTTGTATCATGACATCTTAGCATAGAAATGAGCAAAAAGTAACAAATTTTCATTTCTTATAGCTTCTGTATGCATTTTTATATGTAAATATGTGCTACGGCCTAAATTGAAACTAAATAATGATCAGTCTTACATAGCCTAAGATCATTTTATACTCATTTGGTATGCTTTTTGTAACTTTTCTTTCCATTTAAAGTACATTTAATATATATGAAAGAATAATTTATGGTAAAAAACTTCAAAAACTTCAAATTGGTTGAAAAAAAATGCATGTTTATGTAAGGCTCCCCTTAATTTGAAAATCTCTATTTTCAGGCACAGGCTCATATAAATTTGACTTTTGAATAATTGTAACAAATCTGATAAACCAAATGAGTGGTCAGTTGCTTTTAATACTTAATATATTATATTTAAGAGCATTTCAAAAGCAAATTTTTGCAATATTTAAATTTTTTAAGCCCAAATCTTGATAGTTGAAATTATTTGATTTAAACGTCAAAATTAAACATTCAAATTTCAATATTAAAATTGCCATAGTTTCTATAATATATATCCTATGGCCATGAAACTTGGCAAACTATCTTATAATTGCCTAAGCTTAGGTCATGCAAAGTTTAATTAGAATTGGTCAAGTCTTTCTATACTATTAGGTCCGAGGACACAGTTATCGTCCTTCAATTTTCGTTGTCTACAAATTTAGTCCCTAGTGTGGACAGTGTATAACTTGCAAATTTTTTTCATACACTTTCCAAATTTATTTATTTATATTTAATGCATGAAATATTAAGGGGATGAAATTACATGTTAAAAAAATTTGGGTGCTGAATCTTTATGTTAAGTAGTGATTAGGTCCAGTTTAAAAAGGTCAAAAATTAGTATGTCTGAAGCTGTCAAACTGAATTTTAGACCCCCTTAACATAGAGTTGTCAATATTTTGAGTTAGAGCTGGTAGACTTTTCTATAATTTTGATATTATTTGTCCCAATAGTAGTACACTACACTATAAAAATCTTTTTGAGATAGAGCAGGTGCGATTTTTTTAATTTGACTTTATTGTCTAAAAGAAATGCACTACGAAATAACTGTGTTCTCGGGCCAGTAAGATCAAAGGAAAATTTCATAAAATAGCGACAATTCAGTTTATTCAATATCTTTAAAATATAATGCTGCTTATTAAGGGGAGATTGACAATAAAGATTGCAAATACATTTAGCTCACATGCCATGGTTCTTTACCATGTGAGCTAAACCATGCTACCTGTAACATTACATTTAGTCTCTATATACATTGTACATGTACTCAAGTATACAATTGTGATTTGGTATTTATCATCTCTATTGAATATTGGATGAAAAAAGACTGAAAACTTAAATATTAGTACAAATCTCAAGTGTTTGTTGTGCATTGTTAGTTAACTTGTTGTAATGTTTACTTTGAAATATTACAGTTAAAATACTCGATTTGTGCACTAAATATAAACACATTCATTCACTTCAAATCTCTTTAATGTCTCAAATACCATACTGATTTAAATTTTCAAATAAATTAGCAAATGATGACACATAAAAAAAGTAAAATAACAAAAATACTGAACTCCAAGGAAAATTCAAAATGGAAAGTCCCTTATCATTTGGAAAAATCAAAAGCTCAAACACATCAAACGAAAGGAAAACAACTGTAAAGTATAATTACGTAAGTCCTCATTATATTCTTACCTAAAATTGAATAAAGCAGGGTAGCTAATAGTTTTAAATCCAAATATTTATTTAATCATTGCCCAATCAAAAGACGCACTCGATCTACATGCTCTATATAACTATATTCAAATAAGAATATACTTAATCAAAATTCAAAATGTACCCAATTAAAAGACCCACTCTACTAAATATGTCTATATTCGAATAAAAATATACTTAATCAAAATTCAAAATGAAATACATTTGTTGTACTTGTTAAGTCTGCTGTTCAATATAAACATGATAAAGAAAGAAAGAAAAAATATTTCAATATGAGACCATTTGACAAAACTTTGCTGATCTTATGTTCCAAATTATTCGAGACTCAGTCCTTTGAAATGGCTCCAGTTTAATACAAAAGGTGCTGCTTTCATTTGTTTCCCTCTTGAAGTTGATAACTTCAACAGATAAGTCCAATTTACAAAAAAATGTAGTTTATGAACCGCAATATCCAGTCAACAAAGGTCTTATCCCAAATAAAATAAAACTAATTCATTTGTGTGATTCATATAACTATTAATGATTTTTTATTTCTTTGCTAATTACAATGATTTACCCCAAAAAAATGTACTGTACTAGTCATTTATACACCTTATCGCTATTCCCAGCTGACCTGAGAATTTGTCCCGCTTGAACTATTGACATCATACAACAATCACTTTTCCATTGTGGCGTCAGATATTTTGTATTATGATGTCAAAATTTTACGGGAACCTGTGTGATGTCCAGTAATGGCGGACAAATAGCGATAAGGTGTATTATACATTGTACATGTAATATACTCAGTAATTGCTGATTTTAGCATGTTTAGGACATCACATATAATTTTTTTTAATAAGGTTTAACTTTAAAAAAGGTGAAGTTTTAGAGTGAAAAGTGGTTATTTGTGGTATATGTTATGTAAATCAATAAATTTTGTCAGCCTTATTTTTTTAAGGTGAACATAAGGGTTTGGGTTAACTTAGACTAAAGTTTAAATAAGGTTTGTTTGAGGAATGGTTAAGCATAGCTGTACATTTTTGTATGTGAGTAAGAACCCCTAAACATGCTAAAGCTAAAGACAAATTTAATAAAATCTTGAATCCAAATACATTTTTATAGATGCTGTCTATTGTCTTATTCAAACTGGTTTCAACATGTATTAGCTCTAATCCATCCTTCACCTTCATGGTAAAATATATTAAAATACAAACTTCAATTGCAGAAATTTGCTTTTTGATTTTACCACAAACTATATAAGGATAGGAATTATAGTTATCTCGTACCATTGTAAACTCGTACCAATGTCAACTCGTACCAATAAAAAAAAACTCGTACCAATGCATACTTGTACCTCTGCTTACTCGTACCACGGTAAATTCATTCCATTGTAAACTCATACCAACTTATTTAAATGCATTCAAATGATGTTTAATAATGAATATATACTTTAATTTCACTCAATACCTCTTAAGTCTGTAAAATGTATATAATTTGAAATTACAATGACCAATTTGTAGCTACCTATATTTCCGCACTTTCTGTGTTGCCATTTAGAACATACATCACACTATATTGCTTCTTGTCTGGGTCTAACCAGAGAGTGGCACCATATACAATTGTTGTCTTTAATTGTGGTTATGAGGAACCTCACAAACATGCCCCAATTTTTGAGGAAAGTGGGCTTTGAGACAACTCATGTCAGCTTGTGTTTTGATAATCAGGAATTTCATTTAATAATAAACATTATAATACATTTAATTCCAAGCTGTTAAATTATATAACAACAATCAAAATTTAATAATATGGTTAAACAAGTTGATTTTTGTCTAAGTTTTCATTAAAATCTGGTATAAAATTCAAAGATATTTTAATTTTTTGTAAAAAGCTTAAAAAAAAATAATCATAAAACATTCATATTTTTGTCTAAGTTTTCATTAAAATCTAGTATAAAATTCAAGTAATTCAACTTTTTTTATTAAGTTTACCAAAAAAAAATCATAAAACATTCGTATTTTTGAATATATTTTTAATGGTACGAGTTTGCAGTGGTATGAGTTCTGATTGGTACGACTTCCCAGTGGTACGAGTTTACGTTGGTACGAGTTAACTTTTTTGGTACGAGTTTACAATGGTACGAGGTAACTTGCTGGGGGAGCTATTGGTGTTATATTATATACATGTACAAAAACGTAGTTATAGCAATGTGCAAGATAGACCATGATAGACTATTAGCATGATAAGTTGTAGTGTACAGTAAATAAATTTGAACAGGGGCAGTTTTACCTTGGAGTGGTCCAAAACTCCATTGGAGAAAACAGAATAGTAACATACAGGTATCTGTTTGCAAATTATTCTTTAAAACCTGCAAATCAATACTATAATATTCCATGTTAAGCCAAAGGATCCCAAAGAACTTACAGACAGTACTTTGTATCTGCCTTATTTGACTATTAATGTCATTAGATAATTACTGTCTGACCATCATACAATTTCTGTTGTGACAGCAAATTTGTATAAACAATTTTAATGTTTTTAACTTTTTATGGGGAAGAGAAATATTGGACAGAGACCTGTAAAGATCTGTAAATTTGAAGGTTGTCAATCTGATAAGAGTACACAATTATTGTCATGTATTTTATTACTGTTCATTTTTTTCTTCCCTTTAAACTTATCCTATGTATTTTGCTGTAAAATAAACCCTATAACAAAATGATGTGCGTGTAATACATATACATTTTACATGTAGTAGATTTTTATCTAAACCGTGAAATAAATTAAATTTTAGAGCACTCAGTCACAAACTCACCCTCAATAACAATTCATTATACAGCATTGATTCTCTGTGATTGCCGAGTTCACCAGCTGCTGTCAGGTGAAATGGATTTGAAAATGAAGTCGCCATTCTTTAAATTTGTTCTTATCTTTTAAACTTTTATTTAAACCACACTACTCTACAGTTGTTAACAAGCTAGCAGCCATGCAAATCAAATCGTCATAGTGACAGCAAGCAAACATTACTTCCGGTAGAACGACACCTATAAACAAACAAACAAAGGGAATTAATATTCTCCCGCTAAAAATACAAATCATTCTCAGTCTCACTATACAAATCCTTGTTCTTGTATAAATAAATGGAACGACCATTTAACTTTAAAAGGATGGGGCTTGAAGAAATAATTATATGCTGTTTAAAGTGAAAGAAAAAAATAAATAAGCTGTCGCAGAATTGACTAAAAATATATATATTCTGTTTTACAAAACTATCGGAAAAACCGTACGACTATTATAGGCCGTGATTTAAACATATTTTTTCTAGAGATTATTAATGTGTAATAAACTGGAGCAATTAACTCACAAACTGAATGAAAGTCAAGACTATTCATGTGATTTCGCGGAATTTTATTTTATTATAAACATTTCTTCAAGCTCTAATGCATTATTTCTCAGTTTTGTGATGGCGTGAGTAGAAAAGGAATAACAGTTTTGTAGTGTTTTTACTTCAACGCTTCAATTTTCTTGGAACCCCAGGATCCAATTATCTATGCTACGAAAGAAGTTTCGGCAACATCGTCTATCGAAGTGTAAACCGGGGCAAGGGGGGATTCTAACGGACCAATCCCATTTAAGTATTTAAAGAAAGGCAAATCCATGATAGAAGAAGTTTTTTGATTTATGTATCTAAATGAATAAAAAATCCCAAGCATTAAAAGAAATGCTTTAGACATTATTTACATATATATATATGTATGAATCGACAAAGGTTTGTGCACTGAAGATTCAATGGATCGTATTCAAAAATTTCTTTGAAAATAAGGTTGGTCTCCCACAGGGAGAGATTCTATCGCCGACATTATTCTCATTATATGTTAGTGATTGCGAAATTTCTTTTCTGAATCCCAAAAATGATGTCTGCCATATGAACTAGCAGATCTCAGTCTCTTCTTATTGATGTATGCGGACGATATGGTGTTATTTGCGGAGTCACCGGAAGGTTTACAATCTATGTTTGATTCTTTAGAATCTTACACAACAAATTTCGATTTAACTGTAAATATTGATGAAACAACTTGAAACAGTTATATGCCGTAACGGTGGTATCATTCGAGAAGACGAAAAATGGTTTAACAACAGCAAAACCATAGAAATAGTGGACAAGTTTTGTTATCTATAGGATTTATTTTAAACTTCAACGGAAAATTTACAAATGCACAAAAGAAACTTGCTGAACAACTGGGACTAATATACTATTAGTATAATAGTCCCAGTGAACAAGGAAAACATCGGTGTTTGCACTGTTTTTTTTAATTGCATGCAGAAACTGCCATCTTGATGTACATACTCTTTTGTCGCGTTTTGATATTCATGTTGATAGTGTTTTAACTTATGCTTGTGAAGTCTGGGGATTTTCCAAAGCAGATGAAATCGAAAAAGTCCCGATGATTTATGTTTTTGTAAAAGATTACTCGGAATAAAGCAATCAACCAATACTGATATGGTGTATTTTGAGCTGGGACGAATTCCATTAATAGTGAAACGTATATAAACTGCAGATTTTTAAATATTGGCTCAAACTTTTGAACACAAATAACTCTATTCTGAAACGTGTCTGCGAGGATCTTAGAGCTTCTTGTGCAAATGCAATTTGCAGGTCGATGAATTGGGTAAATCTGATTAAGGATGAATTATACAACATGATATTAGGTGAATTGTGACTACGCAAGACTGAACTGACATTTGAAAACGCTTTTTCACTAATAAAAAAGCGTCTAATAAATGTAAAAACACAAGAACTACTTTCTTTGCTAGAAAACAGTAGAAAGTGTGTTATTTACAGAAATATCACCACAAACCTAGATTTACAATCATTATATTATTTGAATAAATATATTCCTCCTTTATACCGAAAGGCTATTACAAAAATAAGACTTTCTAAACATTCATTAAATATTGAGACTGCTCGTTTTCTAAATGTACCTGTAGTGGATCGTTTATGGAAAGTATGTGGTCAATGTATTGATTACGAGTTCCACTTCATTCTTGTGTGTTCGGCATATAGAGACTTCCGGGTAAAGTTTATAAAACAATACTACTGGTATATAACGAGCGTATTTAAACTAGTACATGCAGTTGTTTAGTCTACAAAATGTTAAGCAGTTGATTTATTTTGGGAAAATTTATTATCCTGGCTTTTAAAATTAGGGACAGTATTTTACAAAAATAACTAACATTCTCTGTCTACATGTTTGATTGCAATTATAATTGTTATTTCATGTTTACACCGATGAGGAAGTATATACATACCTGATTTGCTATACTTTGAACTTGAAAGAATTTCTTTGGTCCAGTGATTAATTAAGTTAAACTTGGCAAGATTGTTACTTTAATAAATATACATAATGGATGTACATATAAAATAAGAAGATGTGTTATGATTGCCAATGAGACAAATCTCCACCAGAGACCAAATGACATAGAAATTAACAACTATAGGTCACCGTACGGCCTCTAACAGTGAGAAAAACCCATACCGCATAGTAAGCTATAAAAAGCCCCAAAATGAAAATTGTAAAACAATTCAAACGAAAAAAACTAACGGCGTGATATATGTACAAAACAATGAACGAAAAATAGATATAATATACAGCAACAAACGACCACCACTGAATTACAGGCTCCTGACTTGGGACAGACACATAAAAATTTGGCGGGGTTAAGAGGGTTTGCGTGTGCCCAAGCCTCCCCTAACCAGAGAAAGTGGTTTAACAGCACAACATATGCACAAACTATAGAGATCAGTCTAAAAGGGCTGAACTCATCAGATAGATATAAACCAGAAAAACAGGTAACAAAAACACAGAGTGGACGTGGCAGGGTATTTATACATCTCTACAACAACAAAAAAAGACACTAAGTACAGATCTGAGAGTACTCGCAGTTACTGACAACTATATAGTTCAAAGCCAATTACAACTAATACAAAAATCATTGTATCTAAGACTAAAATGTCAATCAGTACACACACAACATCCAATGTATTTAGTGGAAAGACGTCATTAACAATCAGAGAAAAACATGATCCTGTGCAATGCCAAAGTACAGGTATCGACAGATTGTAGAACCTTGAATGTGCATATGTATATGTACAGTGGAGATCACTTCTAACCTCTCATTAGAACTGTCAGAATAATCTGTCATAGAACTGTTCTAAACTGTCCTAGAACAGTTCTACCTAGAACTGTTCTAAGTAGAACTGCCAGAATCAGTTCTAGGTAGAACTGACCAAATCAGTTCTAGGTAGAACTGACCAAATCAGTTCTAGGTAGAACTGTCAGGATCAGTTTTAGGGTAGAACTGTCAAAATCAGTTCTAGTCGTAGAACTGTCAGCAGAACTGACTAAATCAGTTCTAACCGTAGAATTGTCAGCAGATAGAAATGTCTAAAACTGTTCTAGCCGTAGAACTGACCAAACTTGTCAGGATTGTAGAACAGTTCTAAATGACGTCACTGCAATTTTTTAATATATATTATATTCTTTTGACTTATTTATATTTAAGACAAAGAGTTCCTAAAACTGCTCTATGGATAGAACTGACTAAATCAATTCTAGCCGCCGTAGAACTGACCAAATCAGTTCTAATCGTAGAACTGTTCTAGCCGTAGAACTGTTCTAGTCGTAGAACTGACCAAAGATTTGGTCAGTTCTAGGTAGAACTGTCTAAAACTGTTCTAGGGTAGAACTGTCAGGATCAGTTCTAGGTTAGAACTGTTCTAGCTAGAACTGTCTAAAAGGTGTCAGGATGACAGTTCTACATACTGTCCTAGAACAGTTCTCCTGACAGATTCTGACAGATTTGATGAGAGGTTAGAAGTGATCTCCACTGTATATGTTTATAATAATAATATAAGATTGGTTTTAATTTACTGATAACACAAAATCAATATTTATACCAATAAAACAATATACAAAAATCTGAGTACAGTGTTGAATTGATGACCTTTTAGAACATGTACATCCAACCTAATGACCAGTGGCGGATTCAGGTGGTGTAGATGGGTTCGCCCCCTTTGATTGGAAAAATACAGGGTTTTTTTTTTGCCTTAAAATAGTCAAAAAAATTTACACTCGGTAGATATTTTTACTATTTTTGATAATTATATACCCACCCGGGCGTTCCTCAGACCCTTGATCCGCTCCTGATGTCTTTCTACTAACATCGCAGATACTATGTAATTTTTGTATGATGACAAAGATAAATAAACACATTTCAACTAAACCCTTTGCTTAAAATATATGTTATACAAAGAATTGCTGTTTCATGAATATCCACCTATATTTATACCATTAAACTTTATTTACTGCTAGTGATTTCATAGGTATACACCTTTTACTTTCTGCATAGGCATTGAAAAAACATTTTTTCGACTTGGTAAGAAAAAAAAAGTTGGTTTGATTGTAGTTGAACTGAAATTAATAAAAATGTGAACATCTGTTGAAAAAAAACTCAAACCAATATTTGAACTGTACACGTATATATACCTAACAACAAAATTATTTTCATTTACCTGTGTTTAAAGTAATTGCAAATGGCTGATATTTTTGTTCAAGCATATTGTTTTTCTTAGATTGTTTAACATTTCACAGCGTTATAACATGTTACTTTAATTATTCTTCCCTTAGTTTATTTATTTTGTATTTACATTGTATCATAGATCAAATTTATTTGTTCAGTGTATGTTCACTGGTGTCTAATATGTCTTTTGATTGAGTGAAGCCATTTCAATTGATATTCTATAGTGTGTCTTTCTATGTTATGATGTTACACTATTGTTTCAGATAAGGGTGGAGGTTTGGTACCATTAAAACGTTTAAACCCGCTGCAATTGTTTGCACCTGTCCTAAGTCAGGAATCTGATGTTCAGTAGTTGTCGTTTGTTGATGTGGTTCATAAGTGTTTCTCGTTTCTGGTTTTTATATTGATTAGACCGTTGGTATTCCCGTTTGAATGGTTTT